AGGCCTTTATTCTAAATAAAATCTGATTTTCTCCAGAAAGGAGAAAGGGACTTACTCGTATTGGGTGGTTTCTGCCTTCTGGCTTTTTGCTTTTTCAGTTTTTGGTATTGTGCCATGCTATCAGTGCCCCCCGTGACATTTCCTACGGTCCTGTCGAAGAACTGAAACCCCAACCAGGTGAAAAGACAAGTGACAGCAGTCCAATTAAATACTTCCTGAAGATGCACTATTAGAACACTTAAAAAAAAAACAGGCAAATTAATTCTGTACATTGTTCCTGTATACGTCTGTGGCTCGTGGGAAGAATTGTTTAAAAACAATTGCAGGATCATCAATCAATCAATCAAATCAGAGCAGTGTCCAGAAGGATCTCGCGTTGCCCTCTCCCTGATGCGCTAGATTTCTACTTGCAAGACAGAATTATTATTTTTTGAAATTTCACAGTATGAAGCCATACATGCCACATGCATGCCTATTGATAGCATTTTCTATGCATGTAGAGACAAGCTTTCTCCACTGAAGGTGCCTTCTAGATGTTTTGGACTACGACAGCCATCATCCGCAATCTGCATGCCCCCCCCTTGATTGAGACTAACGGAAGCAGGACACAAAACCTCATAAAAATGAGGAAGGCTGCTTTATAGCAGAGTTTCAGTGACTTTAGGCCGGAGGGAAGCCACTGTTTTGGATTACAAGTCCCAAAATCCCCTAGGCAGCATGATTTTGTACTACAGCTCCCATAATCCCCCAGCCAGAGGGACAAGAAGCTGGACCCTCTTGCTCTCACCACCAGGGGGAGCTGCTGCTTAGAACACTGACCTTACAGAGGCAGGAATAGACCTAGCCTGCTTCCTGACATGCTAGATTTCTACCTGCAAGGAAGCACTTTTTTTCTAGATTTCTACTTGCAAGGAAGCAATATTTATTTGTATTTTTCCCCCCAGGTTGGAGGAGTGCTTTCTAACAGAGTCAATTCTCCCCACGTAATCTAAAGTGGTACAGCCCAAAGGTACGCCGACCACCTCCACGGGAGTTCTGTTGTCGCAATCCGAGTTCTAGGTTGCCATGATCGCTGTGCGGCTTAACAGGTAAGCCAAGCGAGGGATTCAGTTCCATGATAACTCACCCTGAAATTCTGATCCTGCACAGATTTGGGGCTGGAGGTTCACCAAAGTCAGAGCAGAACTTGAAAAAAATTTAGCTGAAGGGGGCTGGCCTAAAAAGTGAGGGGTGGAGCTGAGGGAGAATATGGGAGGGGCTAAATGGAGCCAGGGACAAGTGTGGGAGGAGCCAGGCAGCAATGTGGGTGGAGCCAGGACAGGACAAAGGCAGTGAGGGGAGGAGCCAGGACACCATATGGGCGTGGCCCGGAGGAGTCCAGAGACTATCTAGCAAGGAATGGGAGGAGCCAAGGTAGAATGTGGGTGTGGCTTAATGCAAAGCCATCCTGGAACCAAGTTAGGGGGAGGAGCTAGGTTACAAAAGGGGGGGGGCCAGGACAGAATCTGGTTAATAGTGCTTGGAACCAGGCGGATTCTGTTTTACTGGCCTTTTAGGTTTGCATTAGGAATAAATTTATAGGGACAACTCCAACCCCCCCCTTGCTGTCCGAAAGATAAATCCTCCCATTGGTTTTGGGATTCTGTTCTTTCCACAGGTGACCAACGCTGCAAACCGACACCGTCCCCTCCGGATCCCCTTGTTGGAGTCAAAGAGACCTCGTTTATATAGGGTGACCCACCCCCATGGGCCTCTTGCCCCATTTTTCTGCCCCATGGCAGAAGCGCCGGAGCCGAAAAAGGAAGAGCCCCCCGCCTCCCCAGCTGGGGGAGGACAGCCTGGGCCGCTCGGTGGCCCGGAGCGTGGGTGGCTTCTCCTTGGGCATCATCCTCTCCGCCGCGTATGGAGCGCTGGTCCTCTTGGCCCAGGGCTACAACATCTGGTACTGCCTCTTGTCCACCATCACCCTGGCCATCAGCCTCAGCCTCGGCATGGCCTTCTCGTTTAAAGTGAGAGCCACTGTCCTCCTAATGCTGCCTCAGATTTTCTCGAGTAAGTCATCATCATCATCATCATCATCATCATCATCATCATCATCATCATCATCATCATCATCATCATCTGCCATCAAGTCCCAGGGAGAGAAATCTCAGCATCGCTTTACCCTTCCCGTCCTCTAGGGGGAACCCTGGGACAGTGCAGCTGGCCCAAGGCTACCCAGGCTGGCTCTTCTAGGCGGCACAGTCAGGATTCGAACTCCCAACCATTCTATCTCTGAAATGCCAGCCGGCTTCCCACCGGGACATCTTTTTGTCCTCAGCGGAAACAGAAGGCTGGACAAGGGAGGTTTTGGCTTTAAGCCGCCCTGACCCTGTCATAGATTTGTGGGTCGCTAAAGGACTTTGCCATTTTTCCCCTCTCCCTCTCTGTCACCCGTTTACAGAGGAAGGGAAGATGATGCTGATGTTCTTGGCCTTCGGCCTGGCCATGGAAGGCCCCTTCGTGAACATCATCCGCAACTTCACCCGAAGCGCGGAGGCCGTCTCCTGCGGGGCGGAGCTCGCCCTCAACCAGACGGTGGAGATGCTCCAGAGGGCCCGCGAACCTTTGCTCAGTGAGACGAGGGGGGATTTTAAATATATACGTCACTCCGCTGTTATTTCTGATCGGGTTCGGCTCGATTGCAGCGTTTTTTCTTTCCTTTCCTTCATCTGTCTGTTTCTTTTTTAGAAATCCCAACCTAAAAGGTTGCATCTACGGACGCGGTGGTGGTGGGTCATCATCATCATCATCATCATCATCATCATCATCATCATCATCTGCCATCAAGTCCCAGGGAGAGAAATCTCAGCATCGCTTTACCCTTCCCTTCCTCTAGGGGGAGCCCTGGGGCGGTGTAGCTGGCCCAAGGCTCCCCAGGCTGGCTCTTCTAGGCGGCACAGTCAGGATTCGAACTCCCAACCATTCTACCTCTGAAATGCTGGCCGGCTTCCCACCGGGACATCTTTTTGTCCTCGGCGGAAACAGAAGGCTGGACGAGGGAGGTTTTGGCTTTAAGCCACCCTGACCCCGTCATAGATTTGTGGGTTGCTAAAGGACTTTGGCCGTTTTTTCCCCTCTCCCTCTCTGTCGCCCTTTTACAGAGGAAGGGAAGATGATGCTGATGTTCTTGGCCTTCGGCCTGGCCATGGAAGGCCCCTTCGTGAACATCATCCGCAACTTCACCCGAAGCGCGGAGGCCGTCTCCTGCGGGGCGGAGCTCGCCCTCAACCAGACGGTGGAGATGCTCCAGAGGGCCCGCGAACCTTTGCTCAGTGAGACGAGGGGGGGTTTTAAATATATACGTCACTCCGCTGTTATTTCTGTTCGGGTTCGGCTCGATTGCAGTTCTGATCGGGTTCGGCTCGATTGCAGCGTTTTTTCTTTCCTTTCCTTCATCTGTCTGTTTCTTTTTTAGAAATCCCAACCTAAAAGGTTGCATCTACGGACGCGGTGGTGGTGGGATTTTCCCCTTTGGCCCGCACAATGACTTTGTAAGGTTGACCTAACGTGGCAAATGTTAATTATTCCCAAAACCACACAGTGAGAACCAAGATTCTCTCTCTCTCTTTCTCTCTCTCTCTCTTTGCTTTTAAATTCATTTATTTAACAGGGGCTAGAAGCCAAATGATCCTCCTCTCTAGAAATATATCTTTCTAGGCTATTTCATTTTAATATTTTTAATATTTTCAGGCTTATCAGGGGCTGGAAGCCAAATTCTCCTCCTCTCTAGAAATATATCTTTCTAGGATTTTTCATTTTAATATTTTTAATATTTTCAGGCCGTGGATAAGTGAAATCCGCAGATACCAATCCTGCAGCTGAGGGGGTCCTATTGTATTATACAATTGTGGCTTGTGCGCTTGAATTAAGCCCTGAGGTGAAGAAAAATCCATTCTGTGGAAGCTGAGAACTAAAGTGCCCTTAAATTTTAGTTTTACGCCCCTAAAGTCCTCTTAACCTTTAGTGGACATTTTACTAAAGGGGGGGGGGATTATTTTGTTTCTACCCTATTACTCCTCTTTTCTGCCTAGATGCCTTGAAGAAAATCAAGGAGATTGCCCAGAAGGCCAAAGTAGTCGGGGACCGGGTTCGAAAGCTTTTCCGGTCTGTCATGGACTCCGTGAGGCATGTCGGTGAGTGCCAGGGGCGCAGAATACGGTGGGGTGAAAGAAGGCCATAGCTTTCTATGGGATCCAGGGCTAAAGTCAGCCTCAGAAAAAAGACCCCTACGCCGTGATTCCCAACCTTGAGTCCACTGATGTTGTCAGACCACAAACCCCATCGTCCCCAAGCAACACGGGCAAGTAAAACACACACACACCCCGTTTGCCCGATTTTGTGGCTAGATCAGGACCTAAAAGAACCAGCTCAAAGTGCGTCTTCCAGGCGCTGGTGTCCTACAAATCCCATCATCCTTCCCTGCTGGCCGGGACAGGTGGGAGTTCTGCTCCATCCCCTTCTGGAGGGCCACACCTTTGAGCGAAGTGGGCCTCGGAGTCGAACGGACTAGGTTTTGACATTCTCAAACCTGTGGACCTCAAAATATTCTCCATGTTGGAGAGGACGTCTCCGGGAGATTCCCCCGGTCAGTCTGAGAAAAAAGCCTAAGATAAATCTACTTGTGACCCCAATACGAGGCCAAGCTGGGTGTTCGAATCCTGACAAAGAGGGGGGAAAGGGAGGGGTTGCTATCTGGGCCTCGCCTGATCCTCAAGGATCGTGCCCAGCTCACCCGCGCCCCCTTCTTCCTCCCATGCAGCTCACTGTCTCCGCAACGTCTGGTACTGGCTCCTGAATCTGGGCGAAGTCTGTAACGAAGAGATGGGCGCCCCTTACCGGAAGTGCGTCCGTATCTTCGAAAACGCCAAGGACCAGTGCCAGCGTGTCGTCCCCCTCTTCTATTACCTCTGTTACATTGTCCTGCTGTTTAAATACCTCTGCGGGTTGGCGAACGGTAAGACCCCCCCCTCTTCGCCTCCTCCCTGCGTGACTTGCTGTGTCCTCCCCGCGCGTGTCAAGTTCGTGGCATTGTCTCGGCTAGCCGAAAAACTTTAGTGGGAAAAGAGGAAGACCCAACGTGAGATGGACGGACTCGCGCAAGGAAGCCACAGGGTTGAGTTTGTAAGAGCTGAGCCAGGCAGTTGAGGACCAGACGTATTGGGGAGCGCTTGTTCACAGGGTCATCGTGCGTCACGGACAATTTGATGGCGCAAAAAGAAGTACAGCTGAACCCCCTGTCAGTTCTTTGCTCTTGTCGTGTCCTGTGGAACTCCCTGCTGCTGGAGGCCAGGCTGGCCCCCATCTTGGCCGTCCTTCCGCCAGCAGGCCAAAAACCTTTCGCTAGTTGACTGAGGTGATTTTTTAAAAAATTTATTTTTAATTCTTAAATTTTAGATGTTTAACTTCATTTAAAAATGTACACGACACGGCACAACCCAAACTTAAAGCCATTAAAAATGGGGGGGGGGAGGACACAAGCAACCCCCCCTTTTTTTACACAAGACTTCAAACTTATAACACTGTGCCAAGGAGATTTTGTTTTCTGCTGTGTTTTGAATATCGCTCTTCTTATGACTTTGAATAGGATATTTGCTTAATACTTCCTTAATATTGCAATAATTTATTATTTAGGTTGGTTGGGTTTTTTTTAATACATTAAGCTGCCTCGTACCCATGTGGAGAAAGAGGGCATAGAAATATTTTAAATCCATGGATAGAGAAAATAAATAAGCATCTTTTCCTGTCTGCAGTCCTCCTGGTCTTTTGCGTTATCCCCCAGTACATTGTGCCGTTCCTGCGTCGCAGAGTGGCTGAACGTGAGTAGATCTAAATCCCTTACACCCTAGATGGCCAAATGCGGGGAGTTGCTTCCTCAGAAGCTCCAGCCTGCAAGCAGGGTTAAGAGGCTGAGATTTCCACCTGTCCTCGTGGCTTTAAGCCCTTTCCTCCTCCTCCCCCCCCTCCACAGCGGTGGTGGCCCTGCTGGACCGCGTCCGGGCCGAATTCGAATTCAACCTCACCACCGTGCACCGGTACGAGGTGAACGTCAATGCCAGCAAGAGCCTCTCCCAGGTGGCCTTCGACATCATGGAGGAGGTCTCGGCCCGCCTGCAGCCGGCGACGGAAGCCGTCGGGCTTTTCGGCTACACCTCCACCCTGGTGATGCTTTTCATGTACATCAAGTGAGTCCTCGGAGAGGAAAAAGAGAGTTTCGGACGCCGGTTCCCCATTCTGGTTATCTGGGGGTACAACATGTCCCATCCTCTCCAGCCGCCACTTGTTTTTCCCCCTAAAAAAACATCGTTAGGCTGAGCAGACGTGGCTGATGGCCCACAACCCGCCATGGTCTCAAATGTACAGTGGTGCCTTGCTAGACAGTGGTGCCTTGTCTAGTGAAAAGCATTTTTCCCATTGGAATACATTGAAACCTGTTTAATGCGTTCCAATGGGGAAGAATCGCCATTGTCTAGCGAAGATTGGCCATAGGAAAGCCGCGTTGCGAACCACCGATCAGCTGTTTAAATCGCTGTCTTGCGAAGCTTAGGTCTCAAAACACCTGTTTTGCGACGGCGGAGGGAGCTGTCAAAATCATTAGCGAAAATCGGTTTGCGAAGCAGGGACCAAACATTGTCCAGCCAAATTCCCCCATAGGAATCACTGTTTTGCGAATCGCTATAGCGATCGCTAAAAGTCAATGTCTAGCGAAAAAACTGTCATGCGGGGTAGCCGTCTAGCGAGGCACCACTGTATATTGTTCTGAGCTTGCTTTAATGAAAAAATATTTAGCGGGTGGTGGTGGTTCTGAATGGACAATTGATATCCATTGGATTTACAAAAGACCTGTCCCAGCAGGAATGGCCCAATCCTTAGCCATGGGTCACAAGAGACTTGGGGAGTCCCTCTTGGACATGAGAGTTTTCATACGGGAACCTCTCTACCTACTGCAGAGCGCTGCTCTATCGGAAACATTACCTCCACGAAGACAGTTTCGATAACATCTACATCACGATGGCCTTCCTTGAAATGGATGAGATGCGGAGAAAAAACAAGAGGCCCACCGTCCTGCCCTTGTCCGCGAGGGAAAGCACTAAATACATCCGCCCAGGTAGGACGTCTTGCATGCCGTTCGAGGGTTTCATTTCCTGCTCCCTTTCCCACACTTCCATCTTTCTAGGACTTTGCAACACCAAATCATAGGATAAGGGTAGCTCCTGACTTCAGAGGGAGCTTGGAACTAAAACAGGAACCAACTACTTTAAAAGTAACTTTCCAAAGCGAACCCAACCTGAGCAAGAGCGGATTTTTCTTGCCCTTCCTCAAAGAGCTGTCGTCGGGATTGGAAAGGACCCGATCCACAATGCTGGGCCCCGGTGGCGCATGGCAATCGGCACCCCGGACAGCGCCCGGAAACTTTGGGTGAAACTTAAGAAATGGAAATCGGAATCACGGTGTTCTAAAAACCCTTGCATTTCAAGGACACCGCTGGCCCGCAACCTTTCTCCCTGATATGTTAGCTTTCTACATGTGGGGTTTTTTAAATAATTTGTTTTATCAAAAGAGGAGCACTCACACCTTCAGTGTGATATGATACACATATCCTCTATAAGATGGGGGCAGCATTAGCCCAGAGACATAGTGTCCCCCTCTGGATCATCCAGTGTTCAATCCTGACCATCTTCGCCAATGTCTCTCGTCATGCAGTCTCGCTCTCCATGCCCCACAAAGAGCAGCTACGCTATGCTCTGGCTCTCATCTCCATCTGTCGCCAATTGATTCTCGTCATCTTGCTGATCGCAGCCGACTTCTCCGTCTTCTGGCTTTTGGACCTGGTGCGGTATCATCTGCATGGCGAAATTGTTGCAAGAGGTAAGATGGAGGAGGAGGAAAAGTAATATACAGTGGTGCCCCACTAGACTATGACCTCGCTGAACGACAAAACCGCAGGACGATGACTTTTTTGCTATGGCGATCGCAAAATAATGTTTCCTATGGGGGATTTTCGCTTGACATCGATTAGGTCCTTGCTTCGCGAACCGTTTGTTCACAAAACGACGATTTTTCCGGCTCCGCAAAATGGCTTCCCTTCGCAAAATGGATGGCTTCCCTTCTGAAAATGGGTGTTTTCCAGACAGAAGCTTTGCAAGACAGCAATTTAAAACAGCTGATCGGTGGTTCTCTATGGGTGATCTTTGCTGGATGACGAGGTATTTCCCCATTGGAACGCATTAAACGGTTTTCAATGCATTCCAATGGGGATTTCCCCCGCATGACGACGATTTCGCTGTACAGCAATTTTCCTGGAACAGATTATCGTCATCATGCGGGGCACCACTGTACCAATATGGTCCAGCTTCTTGCCAGGTTGAGTCTCAGATGTGCACTGTCTGCTACTCAACGACCTGTCTTTTAATGAATAAAACAAATGAATCCTGGGAATAACCTCTGAGGCTCTTTAGGGAAGGTTAGGGATGTCTGCCACCTAGAGACTGAAATTGGATCTGCAGGTTTTAAGGCAACTTTATATTTTAAAATATCTTTCTATCTTCTCCTGCTGTTTATGAGCTATTATAGACCCAGTGTATTGAAATAAGAGTATCAAATCTGGGACCTGAGTAGAACAGGTTCAAATTCCCATTCTCTCTCTCAACATGCCTCTGTTGCTGATGTTTTCTCTCTGCTGGTAGTTTTATGATGTGCCATTTCTAGCAGTTGTTTCGTTGTGTGTGCTTTTAAAAAAATACATTGTCTACCACCCTAGAATTCCGGTTATTAGGGCATCTTTAGGGAAAGTTAATCCGCTTCACATTTCATACTTACAGTGCCTTTATATCAGTGCTGTATGGCTCAGCCAAGCTCTCCAAGTGGCAAGATGTTCCAAGGGTGCAATGCTAACCCAAGCCTAGCTGGCTTTCAATAAGCCTCTGGTCTGATCCAGCACTGTTTGCATACTGTCCCTGAAAATAGTTCATCTGTGCTAACGGACTGGAACAGACTGGTTTTTCCTTGCAGCTCCAGTGACCATGAATGTCGGTGTAAACGGGACCGGCTACACGGGTGAATTGTACCGTGACATGGTCTCTGCGTTTGAAGTGCTACAGCAAGGCAACGTTAGCGTGCTGTCCCGAAAATGTCGTTTGCGTCCAGCTGAGCCCGATTACAATGGCTACATTATCATTGGTAAGTGGCAGGTTCAAGAAGCAGACTTATTCTAGTTAGGGAAGGTTAGGGATATGAGCCACCTAGTGACTGAAGATGGTACTACAAGCTGATTAATTTTGATCAGCTAAAATTAACAAATCAAGTTGAAAAACAAGGTAAACATGGCTCCCTTTAGTATCCAGGCCACATTTCAAGTGTCTAGATTTTGGCATCAAACATATGCATCATCATTAATATTATTATTTGTATCAAAGAAGTACCGGCGTAGAGGGAGAAACCATCACTGATGCAATAAGTAAGCATTTGGAAAATCTGTTTTAAAAACATAAATTATCTAGAGCAGGGTGCAGTGACACCTAAAAACAGGTAAAACCTAATTTTGTAACTGAAAATTTTGGGGAATTTTCCTATTTGACTATCGAGGGTTCTTTGAATGCATCCAGCTGACATAGAACAATACTCTGCAGCAGCCTCTGGTGGCTGCGGTGGGAATTGCAAGGTGTGCAAACGATGCATTTCGAAGAGCAAAAGAAGTTTCTAGAAAGCTAGAAAGCAGCCGTTCCCAAAAAAAATTGGTGAGACAGCAGCCATTTCCAGAATTTTTGGCACCCTACTCTGACCGAACTAGGCCTAGCTAGTCCTGAAAGCCTTCCTGGTTAGGCCTTGCTCCCAGGCGAGCCACAGCCAGGCATCTGTAAGGTGCGTTGTCTGTCAGGTAGAGCTCCGAGAACGGAGAATGATGGGATTTGTAGTTGAAAAAGCTCAAAAATCCTATTCCTAATTGCCTCCCCCACCCCCTACTCCCCCAAATCTTCAGGTTTCATGTACGGCTCCTGTTTCTTCATCGCCATCTTTGGCACCTACATCCAGCGTCTGCAGCGCGTTGTATGTGCCTGGTACTATCCTTCCCGAGAACGGGTGAGTGTCCTCCTAATGCCACCCCATCCCACCAACACTCTTGGTTGGAATTATCAGAGGTTTTTCCCCAGTCCGGTAGGACCAGAGACTCTTTCGGGATGCGAAGTTTGTGCCTCGTCACGTTTTCGGTCGTCTTTCTCGGTGGTTTAATCTACCGGCCGTACAACCAAAGAGAGATACGGTACCACCGTGGTATTCAGAGCTGCCTCTTCTTGTGGCCGGGAGTTCCACAAGAGAATGGAGAGCTCCTTTCCACGGTCTGGACTGAAAGCCGACGAACCTCTCTAATCTAATCTCATAAAACGAGGAAACTTTTTCTGGCAAGCCATGCATTTATTTACTCATTTCAAAGCAGCGCGTCCCTTTACAACTTGACTTTCTCTTCTTTCCGAAGCTAAAATATACACACTTCTGTCCACCCATTCGGACCCTGCAATCGAGCTCCTCGTGGTGCGCCCTTTCTTCTAACCCTTGGCTTTCCCCCCACCCCACTGCTTGTAGGAAAGGATCTGTTACCTTTACAACACCATCCTGACCCGGAGGACCGGCTTAGCCCAAGCCGTGCTCAAGGCAGTGAGAGAGCGGTCGGCCGACGGGGGCCACACGAACCTTTTGGTGGTTCTTGCCACAAAGTAAGTGTCAGCCCTCGGGCCCAATCCTATCCTTGTTAGAATCACAATCTGCTCCTCTAAGGTTCTGCTATATTTCATTTCCCAATGTTTCCCGCATCCCCAGCCTCGGCGCTCTCCTTACCCTCATCCTAAAAATTTAGAAGCATCTCCCTAAAGCTTTTTGCAGGCTGCCAATGTGTCCAGCTCTGAACAGGCACTCCCCAAAATGTCACGTCCTCAACCACCCTCCCCACGTCTTGCCAAATCCAGCCTGTGGCTTCCCTGATTGAGTCAGTCCATTTCGTATTGAGCCTTCCTCTTCTCCTGTTGCCTTCAGTTTTGTCCCAAGTTTGATAGTCTTTTAAAGCTCCCCCTCCCATCCAAAAAAGGTCTTTTTGGTGAATAGGCTGGTGTTTGGGGTGTTTATTTTTTCCTTTTTTTTCTCCCCACCCCTGAAAGGCCACCTTCCACAATTTCTCTGACATTAAAGGCCACCCTTGTGTGGAAAAGGCTTACTTCCTTTTCTGGGCAGCAAAGATTAATTGATTGGCTTTTAAAAAGCTTTCCGGCATGCTTCCCTCTCTCCTAGCTTTTGCACTGAATGAACGCCAACCTAAGGGGTAGAAAGTTGCTTTTTATAAAGGATTAAAGTGGAGCAGGGGAAGCAGGGTTTCTGTCCTGTTCCTGGTGCTCAGAAGCATCCCACGCAGGTAAAAATCTCCTTTGGTTTCCCTTTATTTATTTATTTTCAGATTTAGAATGTGTGCCTGGTTGGTGAAGAAGCTAGGCGTCCACGAATCGTACTGCATGGGCTGTGGGCGAATCCGGGAGGGTGCGGCCAGCGTGGAGTTTGTCTCCTGCATCACGCCAGCATGCCGAGGTTCGGACGTGGGGCAGGGCCGGGCTGGATGTAGGTCAGAGGCAGGAGGCCCTTATGGCTGTCCAAGAATGGGGGAAAAAATATAAGGCCATGCCAAAGACTTATACACTATCTGAATATCAGGGTAAAACCCCTAATACTAGACTCCTATAATACAAAAAAAGCATCCAGGCTAAAGCTAGCTGGAAAGCTCCGTGAATCCTTGCACTTGGTACTCACGGTTGCGAGTTCGATTCCTGTCCATGGGAGAAAATGCAGTCTATGTAGCTGTGGGCAACCTGTGCAGTCCCACAGCGCCCCTAGAGGCAGGGAATGGTAAACCACGTCTGAATGTACTTATGGGTCACCATTAGTCAGAATCGACTCGAGGGCATGCAACAATCGCTTGATTGAAGTCTGCCTGCGTTTAATATTTCTGCAAGCCCCATCGAGGTTATTTTTTCAGCCTTGTTTGGGTATCTCGTTGAGACGGGACGAGGAGGCTCGTACGTTGCTCCCAAGGTTACGACTCGCCCAGATCCAGGAGCGGGAAATGTTCCTCTGATTGGGATCACAGCTCAGAGCGGCCCTTCTGGCTTGCCCTGGGAGCTGTCGTGCTGTAGATCAACTTTTCACATTTTAAAAAAAGCAGCAGGGAGTTAATCTTTAATTCAGAATAAATCCATAAGCCACACCCGAGAGAAAGAGGTACCAGCCCATCTGCAGCACAGGAGGCTGTTAAAACAGATGGGCAAAAGGGTGAGAGAGGGTTGGTGCGCCCATTCGCTTTCTTCGTGCCACTTCAGCTTCTGGGTTGCCACCTGACCGCCGCTCCTCTGCCACTTCTGTAGGTATCTATTGCCCCGATTGTTACAAGCTCCTGAACAACACCTGCTCCATCTGCATGGCCCCCCTCACCTACCAGGGAGACATGGACGAGGAGATGTGAGTAAACCCCCTTCAAAGCACCCTCCTTGTTTTGAGTTGGGGGGGGAATATTTTACCAACTTCGTTATATCAGCGAGTTCCTTTCCTTTAGGCCACATGGCTCCTGTGCTGCTCCCTTTGGGGGCACAAGGATGCCAGGTGGTGCTGTGGGGCCCAGGTGCCAAAAATTGGTACCCACCGCTCCAGCATCCCTGTTTGAAGGCCTGCGGTCTCGTGGTGTCCCATTTCTCCCCACCCAGGGATTCCAGCGACGAAGAAGCCATGGCGCTGTGGATCGGGGCAGTGCAGGCTCTCCGGGAGGCACCGGACGAAGAGCGTCAGAAACAGCGTCGGCAGCTGAAGGCTCGGATCGAGCGGGCCGTGAAGGGGCGGGCGGGCTGTCGCCGCCTGCCGCCGGAGCTGGCCCAGAAGATCCTGGCCCAGCTGAAGGCAGACGAGAAAGAGAGCGCCAGCAGCTCGGACGAAGAAGGTAGCAGCGCCTCTTCCTCGGGGTCTGGCACCAGGTGAGAAAAACCATCCCCAGCAGTCCTGGTGGAAAAACAGCCGTGGGACGGGCAGGTGTTGAACTGGTGGTGCTGCACTCCTGAAACCGCACCTGTGGAACGTCCGCCTAGTGGGCCACAAATCCACGGCACTTATCATTCACAAACCTCGCCAATTCTGGGCCCACAGCTTTCTGAAGCTTCCTTGGTGAAAAGCCCAAAGATTTGTAAGAATAAGAGAGCTGGTAATAATTTTAGCAGTTCCAGGACGTGGTCTTTATAAGCTCTTAAGGTGCGAATGTTACAATTCCCTATTTCTGAATGTGGATCTGGGTTAGAAACAGAGCCAACATTTCCCAGAAAGTATTGGTTGAAAGTCTTCTCTGCCTCCCCTTTCCCCCAGGAAATAATAAGGCAATTTTGCAGAATTTTCTTCAACTACGCCTAAGCAGCCAGGTCCCTTTTGAATCTTGAAATATTTTCGGTTGCCTCCACCGAATAACCCAGAACAACACTAGGTATCTGGGATAAAGAACATGGCAGCAGAGATTTAGAACTGCCTGCTGATCAGGTTGCATCGTCCCGGTTTTTGATCCGCACCGCACGGAAGACCTTTGGTGGCTGCAAAATGGACTTTTTAACCTTAAAGCAGCTCCATTTTCTCCTAGCAGTGTCTTTGAAAGCTGCATTTTATGTCTTTTTTTATAGCTATGTTCCTTCTACCTTTTATTTACATCTATTTCCTCCTCGGCACCCTTGAATCTCATCGGTGGGCAAGAGGCGGGATACATATAAATACTGTTAGACTTTTGCCCTGCCTCCTTGTCAACAAACAGCACTCAAAGTAATTCAGTTTCCAAAATTTAAATTTAGTTGTCTTTAATAAAATGTAATTTTAAAATTAATTTTAAAACACACACACACACCTTCACCTGTCCTTATTTTTATTTTGACCTTTCCAGCAGCCTTGATTTCGGTTATCAGAGAGAAGCCGAAACCAGTGGCAGCGAAGAACTGGAAGAAGTGAGAAGCGACTGAAAATCTGGGTCTTTCTCTACAAAAGGAGCGTACATGTAAAATTATTAAATTGATTCTTAATTTTTTCTGGTTTGAAGACTGCCACCCTTAAGCCTCCATATAGCCAATTTTCACCGCATCAGTGATGTTGCAGAGAACATTTTCAAGGACAGGTGCCCTCGACAAACAAGGGGACAGCACGGATCCCTGAGAGCAGAGGTTGGAAAAGTTACTTTTTTTGGAGGACTAGAGAGTCCCAGAAACCACCAGGAGCTGAGTGCGAATCCTAGGATCCCACCAGATCCCTCTCCTACCCCAGCAAGTGATCACAGTTGCAGGAGGAGGATGGGCCTGGTAGTCCAAAAAAGCTGTTTCTCCCCCCCATGCTTCGGGAAGAAGCTCCAGGAATAAGGGAGCCCCCTTCGGAGCTGCCATACCCCCCCAAAAAAAAACATCAGTTCCAACAACAGAGCTGAATCATCATTGAATTTTACTTCGTGATGGGTGGATGTGGGGTGATAGATTTTCCCTACGCATCTGGAGCGCCGTATGCCATATGGGTGGAGGAAGATGGGGCTGGACAGGAGGCAAAAAAGGATTACGGCTGACCCCACAATATCTGCCGCCTGAGGCAGCCTCGATGCCCTAGCATGACAATGGTCTGGTTTATTTCCATGATCATCTCAACCTCCATAATGTGGATTTTTTTGCCCCACGCACTGCCCATTTAAACACACAGAGAAACACGAGTCCACGCCAAAGGCTCCCCCGCATTCAGTTTTATTGTCAAACAGCCACAACGGACAACAGACACCGGGAAAAATCCAGTACAATGATTTAAAGACAAGGAAAGAGGCATTTACTTGATGCTACCCCGTGATCTAAACAAAAATATATATATATATCTGCCCCATTTTCAAGCTTTCCCCCCCTCGGACAAGGAAATGCATGTACAGTTTCTGGATTCGGGGGGGGACACCCTAAAATCACAGTGAAGGTGGGAGGGGTGTATGGGGGAGGGTAGCTCCTGGACGGGGATGATGGGTTAAGGGGTAGCTAAGGTCAAATGAGCCAGAGGTGGGATGAGGGGGAAAGGGAATCCAAGCCATGATGCATTTCAAGTCGCTAAAGATTCAAGTTTAAAGATGCAGGCACTTTTCACGCTGGGGAAGACCAGTCCTTCTCACCCCACAACTCCCTCCCCCTGACACACAGATTTTTGCCTGATAAGGAGACCCCACGCCACAGATCCTGCTGGGGGGGAAATCAGGAACGGACGGGAAACAGAGGAAGGGAAATATATATATATATATATTACATCATCTCTTAAATATCTATAAACTCTTGAGCTAATAAGCTGGGCAAAATCTCTTTTATGAGGAACCCCCTCTCTTCCCCCCTATATACACAGCTAAGCTCTTTGCCCCTCCAGAGGGGCAAAGGGGTGGGGCGGGGAAACCCACAGAATGTGCAAACAAGGGGGTCGGGGAAAACAAGGAGCCTCACCCCGAACCGCCACCGAGCCGTGCGCCAGTCCAAAAATGAAAACATGTCCCCCGAATCGCTGGCATCTCCCTAGTGCAATAAATCAGGATATGATTGATGGAAGGTATGTGCAAAGATATGAAAGGTAAAGTGGAACAGAACCGGGCTGGGGGTGCTCCCCTTTTTTTTTTGGCCCCCACAAAAGATCCTGCAAAGCGTACATTTTCGTCGTGGAAGAAAATATGGGGTGGGTCGATCTGTCGGCCAAGGAGGTGTACACCCGTCATGATCCATAAGTGCTAATATACTCTCTGGTCTCCAGGCTCCTCTGTGCAAAAATGTGTCCCTAAGATGGGTCTGATCCTGATCCATCCCTCCTGGAGGGCAGAATGTTTTTGTCTCTTCCCCCCCCACCCACAAAACAAACAAACAACAAAAAAAAGCATCCCACAGCTGCCAGCTTTCTCCTTTTTTTCCCTCCAGAATAAAATTTTCTGTAGTCCAGAGGGTCTCGGGGTGGGAGCAGAACTGGAGGAAGAGCCCACTCCCCAAAATCTGTGCTAATGTTTACCAACCCCATGTCTTTTTTTTGTTTTGTTAAAAAAATAAAAATAAAAGTTCATCTCCCGCTCTCGCCACTACCTCCCTTCTGAACTCGGGGTGGGGGAAACGGCACCCTGGGTGTGGCGGTGGCCACCCTCCACAAAACTAAAGTCACCTTTTCTTTTAAATTAGGATGGGGAAGAACCGTCGTCCCAAAACAATCGCGTTTAATTGCCTTCCCCCCCCCCGCCCTGAAATCCTGAGTAGACGTATGTCTTGCCATTCCCTCCCACCCGATGGGCTTTGGTTCCGAATCGGGGCCCGCCCGCCCCATTTCGAGGATGCTCAAGGCACAGAGGCAGAGCAGGGGGGGCGGGGCCTAGTGCATCTCGTCTCCGTGCCGACACGGTCGCCCCCGGCAACAGCATCTTAGGGCATCTAGTGCATCTTGGCCTGGTCCATGGCCTAGTCCCCCTGGATAGGGTTGCCACGGCAACCGTCCCAGCCAGGCAGGCCTGCGCCTCTTTGCGCCCAGGCCCTAAGCCATTTCGAGGGCGGTGGGCCCGTCTTTCCGCCCTGCTTCCTCGCTGCCCCCTCCTCCTCCTTCTTCTTCCTCCTCCTCTTCCTCCCCTTTGGGAGCAGGAGAGACGGCGTGGCGGGCCTGGCTCTGCTCCCAGTAGTGGCGGGCCGCGGCCAGGCGGTGTCCCTCCATTTGCCCGTTGGCCAAATCGAGGTCGGCGGCGGAGGGGGGCGTCCCCGCCAGGGGCAGAGAGTCCGGCTCCTGCTCGGGGCCTCGGCGCCGGCGCCTGGTCCGCACCTCCAGGCAGTTCTGGCCCTTGAGGTGGCGCTGGAGGGGGTCATCGAAGCGTGCCGGGCAGTGCGGGCAGGAGTACGGGCGCTCGCCCGTATGCTTCCGCATGTGGATCTTGAGCTTGTCATTGCTGGGGGAAACAAAAAATTCAAAACAATATGCATAAGCCAACACGGGGGGAAAAAGTTGCCCCCCTTTGTGCATTGCAATGCACCATTGGGCAACAGTCACCCCCCATATCTACAGGATCCGTATCTGCTGATTCACCGTCGAAAATATTCAAAGAAAAATCCCATATTTCTCAAGATGAGGTTACCAGAACTTGGCCCCCTAGAGGCAGCCAGAAAGCATGTGATGTCTAGCATTTGCTATTAAAATAGGATTTTTTAAATTTTTATTTTATTTTTATTAGATTTCTACCCCACCCATCTAGACCAAAGGTCTACTCTATTTGCTGTCATCCACATTTTTAGGCATCCGCAACCGGGCTTGGAACCGATTCTCTGAGGAAACAGGGGTCCTTCCTACACCATTATTTGTACAGTATTTTAATTGCATTGCAAGGCAATCCTCCCTTCGCTTCCTACACTCTCCATGGCTCACGAGGAAGCCTCAAAATCAGTGGTTTCCATGCTTGGGACTCCAGATGTTCACCAAACACCCCCCCCCCAGAAACGTGAGCTGCCACAATCAATGGTCAGGACCTCTGGATACAGGATAGTTTTTCTGGGACTGTAGAGAAATTCAATCCATGCAGCATGTATATGCATGCAATTTAGGCCCCACCATGTGTACAAAATAAGATCTACTGTAGCAAATGGCCAAAAGAACGCTATTGAAGTCAAAATAGTCTAATAATTTGTGTCTAATGTGGCCTATGTTCCATATGCATCAATATATTTTAAATTGCACCATGTTCTGATACAAATAAATAATTTTTTAAAAAGCCTTTATGGTGGCGGAGAGCAAAGTGAGGGGTGGAAAACAATAAGGCAAAGCCAAGTTTCAAACCAGGCCTGTCCGGCTATCTCTCCATCTGCACACAGATAAATTTTATTAAAAACAAACATCTATTTTCTGCAGCTAATATTTCCTAGACAGACAATAGTTGCTATTAGGTGTTGGAAACAATGGCTTGAGAATATGAGCTTTCTTTCTCCACCCCCAAAATCAGGTTACTAGGCCTTACGGCTGTGTAGATAAAAAATACCATGAGGATACAGAAAAGATAACACAAAGATACAGAAATCATACAAAGTAATACAGTGGCAAGCCAAGGTTATAAATGGCCTGAAGTGTATCCAAGGACAGTCATTTAAAACAAAACTTTTCAGTTTGTTTATTATTAAATTGTATGGTGTTTTTTGAGCCAGAAGGCAAATGTTTTGGAACAAGAGCCGTGCCAGCCCACCGGCTTAGGAGCTAGCAGACATCAAGCAAAAAAAGAATAAAAAAGAGGAACAGGAAAATGAACTCGTCAAATTAACAAAGGCAGACACTAATTGCTGATAGCCACGTGAATTACCACTGAGGGGACACGGTTCTGAAGTGTGGGAGAGCTAAGGAAAGGTGGGGTCCCAGCAGACCCTGCAAACTTATTTTTAAAAAGAAATTAGTTAAAGTTTTATTTCCAAGACCCCCTCCAAAAAGGCAGTTATATTTCCATTTTAGATGCAGATTTTGCAAAGTAATTTTACTGCCCTATTCCACAAATGTAACTAGAATACTTAGTTCCTTTACTTAGGCTGGCTACTTTTGAATCTAATTTTGGATAAGCCTGCGGTACAAGACACATGTCTTCCTGGTGCCTCATCATCCTCTGGGCATCCACGACAAAAACAAACCTATCAAACCTATCTCCCTTTGGTTCACATTCCAATAAATAGAAAAGTAACTGCAGCATTATAGTTACATTCCAGAAAGGGTAACATCTTTTGCTCATCTAGTTATAATCAGACTGTAAGGTAGTGATACCTTAAGTTGCCCAGGGAATGGAAGTTACTTCCAAATTTCAGCAGGCAAACATCAACCGCTCTCAGGCAGAAAAGAGGGTATCACTACCTGTGATTTGATCACCTCTTCGTCCTCTTTCTTTGACATGCCAGGAAATGAACCAAGAACATTTCAGTATTGATTTTATTTATCATTTGCATAATTATTTTAAAATATCTTTATCCCTACTGCTTTTGCTTCTAAATATGGTCTTTTTAAAGACGTAAGACGCCTTGGGTCCTTTTAAAGGGGAAAAGAAGGGGGAAAATATTTTAAGTACATGAGATTTTTTTTTTTTTTAAAGAAGACTCACCGGGTAAAACGGACCCCACACACCTCGCAGGCGAAGGGCTTCTCCCCCGTGTGGGTGCGCATGTGACGAGGTAGCTTCCCAGCCCCATGGATGACTTTGTGGCAGACGGGGCACTCCTGGGGCATCTGCGAACGGCGTTTGCGCACCAGTTTGTCCGGAGGGTCGAGGCTGGAGGGGAGCCCCTCCGGGTTCAGGTTGCGCAAGTAGGGGATGATGTCGTGGTCCATGGGCTCTTCCTCGGAACCGATGTCTTCCGGAGAGAGACCCAGGTTGTACGGGTAAGGGAAGAAGCCAGAGGTGACAATCAGCTCTTCCTCCTCGTCCCGGGGATGGCCGAGGGTCGGGGCCGGCGAGGCTTGGTTCGGAGGGCTGGGGCGCTCCTGCGTCCCCGTTGAGGAGGGGGACGGCGAAGGCGACAGCTCCGTGATGTGGTTGTTGAGACGGGAGCCTCGGGCCTGGAGGAATTTGCGGGTTTTCTTGCTCCGTCGGGGAGCCGGACAGGCTGGTGGTTCGGGCAAGTCCCCTTCGGCGTTGGGTAGGGTGGCGAAGGTCTCCAGGTACCTCCGGGCACGTTCCCGGGCAGCATCATCAGGGACGGGCGCCTCCAAGCCGGTGCCTTGCAGGATTTCCACGCAGGCGGCGATGACGCAGGGAATCTCCAGCACCCGCGCGGCGTGCAACACCTCCCCGAGGCTGCCCGTGCTGATGGTCAAGGTGGCCGTGTAGGCAAAGTCCAGCAGGGCCCCCAGAGCGTCGGCCCCCACGAAATCCAGGTCGCACACCCCCACGCTGGGCCCGGCGAAGAGCCGCTGGAAGTAGCGGCTGGAGGCGGCCAAGACGGCTCGGTGGGTGCGGTATTCGGAGCCCTGGGCCCGCAGCGTCACATCGCACAGCACCCCTCGCCGGCGCTGTTCGTTCAAACGCCCCAGGAGCTCGCTGCTGTGCTCGGGAAAAGGAATCCCGATCAAATCATCTTCGGGGCTGCCCATTCCTTCACCTGCAGATCGGGCAGAGGGGGGGGAGAGAGAGAGAATCTGGATGAGCATAAAGAATACTCGCAGCACTTAAAACAGCTTGGGACCCAGAAGTGACTGTGGGGTTTATTTTTATTTTTCTAGGCATGCAAAAAATAAAAGTGACCAGAGCCATTTCTCCCAGGCTTTTCAGAGTTTTGAAATCACCGTGTGAAAGATTGATCTGTCTCCCTATTAGTTCGGTTTCCAGAAACCATGAAAATCTCCCCAAATGTTGAAACGGAGGATGTCCTCCTTTGGGTACACGTCACGAGAATGCCGGATTCTCTGGAAAAGACGGTAACGCTGGGCAAGGCGGCAAGCAGCAGGAAAAGAGGAAGGCTGAATATAAAATGGACAGACTCTCTCAAGGAAGGCACAGGTCTGGGTTTGCAAAAGCTGGCGAGGGTAGCTGAGGACGGATTTTGGCACTCACTCATTCCCAGAGTTGCCAGATGTCAAGGGCGACATGACGGCGCATAACAACAGATGTGTCAAAATGCCATCGAGACTCTATTTGGTCATATATATTTTTTCTTTGCCGTCATTTTCAGACGATTGTAGGTGACATTTTACAACTCCACGATTCAGTTGTAAAGGAAATGAAGGATTTGAACACCAAAGCACTTAAAAAAAGAGTTTCAAGACCAACACACCAGGCTGCCATAGAGATTTAATGTGAACGCATTCACATGACAGCCGAGGTTTTCAAACTCAGCCGCTAGAGGGGCCCAAACACCCACGCGTCAGCTTCCTGTTTTCTTTCTTCTCCCATGCAGTGAACCAATGTTGGTTGTTGCTGTCGATGGGTGTTTGTGACTCTCCCGCTTATGCCTCCTCCCGGCTGTGGGCAGAGGGGTCTTTCCCTCCCTGGGTGGACCCTCATGCCGGCAGCACTGGTGTAAACTGTTGAGAAGCAGGAAAAGTAGAAGGAAAATGATCGCCGGGCCCATCAAGATGCAACTGGTTCAGAATAAACCAGAATCCTCCATCATTTTGGTTCACTATAAATGTGCCTTTATAGTGGAAGCTTTTCTCTTAGACCCATTAACCCCACAAGTGTGCTCAGTGAGAACACGGGAAGGGGGCCTTCTCTGTGGCTGCTCCCAGACTCTGGAACTCCCTGCCACTGGAAACCAGTCTGGCCCCATCTTTGCTGTCCACCCGCTAGCAGGTGAAGACCTTTCCCTCAATGACTGGCTGGTTTTTAAAATGGATGTTTATGCCTGCCTGCTTTGAGTGTGTTTTGGTGTTGCTGATGATCTTTGATCCTTTTTAATATTTCTGCGTTTACTCTTTATCGCTTTAAATATTGATGTAAGCCACTTTCTTAAGGAGAAAGGTAGGGTAAAAAATATTTTAAATAAAGAAACAGAGGAAGAAATAGTAATACTCTGCCCTCAATACTGTTGGATCCCCCCCATCAGCCAACAAGAAGTCAGAATTTTAGGGTTGTGCTTGTCTGGATATCACAGAACTTCTTTTTCAAAAAAAAAGGATTCAAGGCCTCTCAACACCCACTAAAATAAATCTCCGTGCAGGTGATCTCCACCTGCTCCACACCCAGTTCTAGGAAAAGCCAAAAGCATCAGCGCACCAGAGTTTATTTATTAATTAACTTATTTGAAACCCAACATGCGACGCCGCACGACGAAACAGCAGCTGCAGTCAGGAGTGTGGTAAGACGACGTTCGGCCCTTTTCCTCAGGAACCACAAGGAGGAAAAACAAGTAAGCGTCGCCCACTGGCTGCACGGAACTGGCAATTAAACCCGGTTCGTCGGCATCATCCTTCGTTCTTATGTTATCAGGTTTCAGCGCATTAGCAAACATGCGCTCCTTATTGGAAGGATCGTTTTTGTTTGTGGCACCACTACGACATGCCTGCACATGCAGCGGGGTGGGAAACCTGTCGTGGCCTAGATGTTTGAGGGCCTTCCCAGTTCCATCATCCCCGACCAGCCAGGCTGGGGCTGATGGGACCTGGAGTCGACCCGCCGGCGGGCAGCGACAGGTCCTTCTCTCCCAGCCCTGTCTCCTCGGACGGACGTCTTTTACGTTCGAACGCCAGCCTATAGGGCAAAGGGTGACATTTACGACGACCCGGCGAGGAAGGCTGATCACCATCACACACCCAGGAAAAGCAAGGGGAGAGATGAAGGAGAGGAAGCGGAGAAGGCAGCGCGGTCTTTCCTGCCCCCTTTGAATCGAAACCGGGCCTCCTGTGGGGAAGACGACAGGGGAGCCAATGAACCTCAAAGCAAAGGAAGTCTGTGCGCATCTGCAGGAGGCAGCGTCCGCGACCCGGAGTGGGAGGAAGTCTTCTCACCCCCAGATTGTACAAAGCTGATCAAGGGGCCTGATACTGACAGGTTCGGGGCAGATTTCAAGGAACGATACGGCCCGTTTCCCCCTCTTGCCACCCACGGCCGTGGGCGCCTCCTCGGGGCAGAGGGGGGAAGAAAGGTTGAAGCAGGCAAGCTTCGCTTTTAAGTCTCTCCGTTCCAAAGCCACCCCAGGAGGGAGGACTGCACCCTTGAGTTGCGAGGGGACCCAAGATTAGCTCAAGCCCCCCCCACCCCCATAGCCGGGGAACCTCTCGCCTTAGAGACCTGGTTAGATGCTAATTCCCATCAGCCCCAGCCAGCCAGGCTTCTGGCTGGGGAGGATGAGGAATGTAGTCCCCAAGATCCGAAAGGGTATCAATTCTGCAACCCAGACATACCCATTTCCAGCAGGGGAGGATGGGGGATGTAGTCCCCAAGATCCAAAAGGGTATTAATTCTGCAACCCAGACATACCCATTTCCAATAGGAACCTCCGACAGCTTTTTGTTTCTTCAAGAAAGACTCAACAAGGGATGATTTGGGTCTTCACCTTCCAGCCCTGGACCTCTCTGACCAGCCGGGACAGTAACGGAAAGCCGTGGCCACCTACATCCCACTGCAGGTCATGTTGAGATTCTAGTCCTCAAGGTTCTGAGTTAAGACAGGGTTTGCTGCCTTCCGTGGAACCAGACTTGATTTATAATTTGTTTATCTCCCTATAGCCACCCGCGGGTCTGCAGGTGCCATCCCAGAAATTACAAGGGAGCAAGCCTTTAAAGCTGTGAAGATCACATGTCTAGTGACAAGTCATTGAAAACCTGCAAATGTTCTTTTTTTCCCCTAACTAGAATGGCTTTCAAGGCCCCTTCCAACTCCGTGATTCTCTGAAGTTAGCTTCTTGGATGGAAATCGTTGCAGCCTGTTCTAGGATGCTATGAGAAGCACTTTGTCCATGCTCAGAGGCCTGGCTGGGTTTGGAAGAGGAAAGGAAAAACTTTACGAGGCTTAACTCTTCAGAAAGCTCAAGACCAGCAAAAGAAAATAAACAGTCTGCCTTCCTCAGCTCTGTGCTTGTTTGAGGTCCTTAATTCCTCTTTTCCAACCCAATTTTAGCCCAAATACGTGTGGCGAAGGAAGACTATGGGCTGGGGGGGAATCGCCAGGCGGTGGCGGTGGTGGTGAAGAGGGCATTATGGCGAGCCCCTCCTTGTGCCAGGAAGGAGGCTAGGCGCTGCCTCCAGGGTGGAATCACCAGGCGTTGGTGGTGGTGGTGAAGTTATGGCAAGCCCCTCCTCGTGCCAGGAAGGAGGCTAGGCGCTGCCTCCCTCCCTGCCCATCCGCCCGCCCGCCTTGGGTGCCCGCCAGCAGGGCCGTTTCGCCCTCCGAGGGGGCAGAAGTGGGTGGCTGGGAATCAGGGAGCACGGTTCCGGCAAAGGGGCGGCCCCCTCCCGCCTCTGCCAAGCAAGCCGAACCGGCCCGGCAAGGTGGGGAGGCAGAGAAAGAAAAAACGGTGGCGCCTGGCCAGGGCCCGCCGGGTTGGTTGGGGCACTCTGACCTAGGAGATGGGCGCGGCGCGCGTCACGGTGAACACCCTGGGCCGGCCATGCCAGCTCACCAAGAACCTGCCCGGCTGGCAGGCCAGCACCCAAGGGGGTGGAGAACGGGGTGGGGGGGAAGGAAGGCACTTATTTGGGCGAAAGGCGGTCTCCTGCCTCTCCCCACCTGACGGAGAGTCCCCTCGGGGCAAGACGCTCATGCCAGGCCTGGGAGTCCCGGACCCACACCTTTCCCACAGATTTCCCCACCAGCTGACGATGCCACCTTTCCGCCTTTACAGGAACGCGAAGCCGCAGAGGGATCTCAAACGGAGACCTTCTTTCCGTCTAGTGGCGCCTCGCAGGACAAAAAAAAAAAAAAAACTCACAAGACAAACGGTTTTGGCAATGGGGGACGACGACTCGCAAGACGAATGTTCCTACGGCTGTGCTTCGCAAGAAGATTATTTTCCATTTTTTTGTTCCTGCCTCATGTTTGCTGATTTTGAAATGTTTTTCTATGGATGTTTAAAAAGTTAAAGTTTTTTGGATTGAATTTTTTTTTAATCATCTGCACAATATGTACGGCTTTAAAGAGCACTTAATAAACCCTTTGTAAACCAAATTTCACTTAGTTCTGCCTTTTTTTTTGCCTGTAGGAACGCATTAATTAGATTTCAATGCATTCCTATGGGAAAACGCGTTGCACAAGACAAATTTTTCACAAGACAACATTAACCGTGGAATGAATAAAATTCATCTTGCGATGACAGGATCCTTCCGTAGCCCTATCTGGCGCTGCCAGCGCTTACGTGCAAAACCGTAAAAATCAAGAGATCTCCTGCCCTCTTAAGAGCTCGCGATGGGGCAGAAAGGAAGCAGGTGTAACCTCTCTGAAGCAATAGGTAGATAGAATATGTAGGTATGACGCTTTTCCTGTTGAACTTCAGTCTGACTACCGTGCAGCAGGGAGAAAAGACCGCACAGCTACTGCTCCTCCAGAATGGAGAAAATCATGGGTCCTGTTTTCTCACTTCCAGAGCTGGTCATGGCATGCAGAAATTCTAAAATGATGTTTTTGGCCTTGCCGGTTGGATTTCTGCCTGGCTGCCGCAGAGGAAGG